CTCACAGTGCAGCCATTTGTTTTGCAACAACTTACTCTACCAGGGGAGAAGCCATAGGTTTCTCAGCAAACCATTCACAACACATCATGGCACAAAGGTTTTCTACAGGAGCTCTGCAAGTTACAGATTCAGACCGACAGCTCCCCACCTTGCTCTGTGAAATAGCAGCAGTGAACACAAGGACCTGCACAGAAATTGGATGCAGATGTTTTCTGCTGCTGAACCACCAGAGCACTGATCCCAAGCCGACAGCAATCATTTCAGCTTGGACAATAAAAGGCCGCCGCTCTTCCAAAGGTAAAGGAGGAAGATCAAAATGCCCAGCAGAACACAGAGATGATCACCCATCTCAGGTAACAGCATCCACAGTACTGCAGGCAAGGAAACAGCTTTTTATGGAGCAATCTTCAAAGGTTACGACCTCAAAAGAGTTCAGCAGCACGAGCTGCAAGGCAGCATGCACAGCGCTGGGCAGCCTTACCGGCCTTGTGGAACAACTGAAACAGCCCCGATCCTTAGGGTTATTTTCAGCTTCATCTCAGTGAGTTGATCAGAGGAGCAGGTGAGATCTGCATTTACTAACAGAAGACTGCTTCAGAACAGAGAAATCACACCTGAAAAGCCTTGTTTATAAGAGGGAAATTAACTACTTCAGCAGTTAAGACATCCTAAAGAACTGACCCGGTTTCTACCACTTGAGTGCACAACAGAGCACTGTAACAATAAGATGCTGAGCTCCTATTTCTGCTCACTACATAATTTCATCACCTCGAGCATCCCTTTCTGTGTAAAGCTGCAGAGTGCACTTACTCCCTTACACAAACAACAGGAGCAAACAAACACCCCTGGAACACCACAGGAAGAGTAAAGAAAGGAAAAAGCGTATTTTAAGAAACGGAAATACAAGTGGCCAAGAACACACAGAATAAAAGCCACCACGGGCACTGAGTGCTCCACAAACAGGCCGGTACCTCTCCAGCTCCCAGTCCTGCGGCAACCTGTGGCTGCGGGCAGCAGCAGCACTGCACACACAGCCTGCAGCACTGCCCCACCAAGCGCTGTGTCAGCAGCGGAGCCCTGCAGAACAGAACCATCTGTGAGGCCAGGCTGCGCGCTCCGGTGTCAGTGACCACACGCCCATGCTCCTGTCAAAGGAGGCAGCTCCTACTCGTTCTCAGCAGTTTTGGAGATAAATACTCTCACAGGCGAGGCCCATACCGTCACCACTTGTTCAAAGCAGGCAGATCAAACCAGAGAACAAGAGCAGCATTCTAACAGAGGTCTAATTGTCTTTTTTTTTTTTTTTTTTAAATTTTTAACTTCTGTATTTTGTTCTGTTAAGCAATTAAAAAGCCTTCTGACAAATCAACAAGTGCAAGTCTGCCTGCAGGCGTTTCAAGAACTGGCAGAAAAGTGCATTCTTTCCCAAGCAGAACCCTGCTCCCGATGCCAGAGATGCATTCTAGCTGCAGGCGTGCCCAAAGGAAAACCCTCCTGTTTGAGTTCTGGCTGCACAACACAGCACGGAGAGCCCTGCAAGGCGTGTTAGCTGAGAAACACAGCGGGGGATTTGGTATTAAGACTTGCTGACTGGGAGCGCTGAGAAAAAATGCAAGCAGCAAAGAGGCTGCACCAGTATGTTCATAAATTAAGAGGCTGAAATAAAACCGTTTCCCTGCAGCTCTGCTTACCACAGCTACCTTAGGGCTGCCTCAGCGTTCAGCTCAGTGTGCATGTGGCACAGAAGGGCTGCGTGCAATACTTGCTCAATTCTCTCTGAATTCATGAGCATTTTTATGGGCACACAAGCACCGGGGACTGAAGTTTTCAGAACCCAGTAACTTCAGAGAGCTTTTCAAAACAGGCTCCCAGCACTGCAACCAACATAAGAACCACAAGAGATCTTTCCTCTGAAAAAGAAGAGCACATATTTGCGCTCTTGAGTTCATCTCCTTGCCCAGCACAGGACAAAGGGCAGGGACACTGAGCACACATCTGCACAGGGCTCAGTTAGAATCACAGAATCACCAGGGTTGAAAAGACCTACAGGATCATGCAGTGCAACCAGCTACCTGTCACCAACAGTTCTCAGTAAACCACGTCCCTCAACACAATGCCTAAACGTTCCTTGTACACCTCCAGGGTCAGTTCCAGTTGCCAGCATCCTCGCTCACATCCCGTTATTCCATATCATTCACTCATGAATCACTTCCCGCATCTCCAAATACAATTCCAAGACAAAAGTTCATTAGCTTCAGAATAACACACTAAAAACGTTAACATACGGTTTGCTACATTCTGAAGAGAAAGTGCTTGGATACATTATGACTTCTAACACATTGTGCCCCGAGGTTCACAGGGATCGAGCAGCCCTCCCAGCAACACAAAAGGCTGCCGCTGTGCTCGCAAGGCACAGAGCTGCGGGGAGCACACAGGACGTTCCGACAGGAGCAGCTCTCTGCCCAGTCGGGGCTGGGGAAGCAGAGCACCCACCCACCTACCCACAGCCCCGAAGAACCGGGAGATGGATGGAAGGAAGAGCCCTGGTGGGTGGCTGAGAACAGCACCGGATGATCTTCCCAAAGGGACCGAAAGGAAAACGGCCACAGACTTCAGATGGATTTTTCAGCTTCCGCTCCGCAGCACAAAGGCCCCGTCGGAGCAGTGCGGCAGTGGAGGCTCACAGCCACTTCCGACGTTTTATTTCAAACACGCTGCGCGCACACAGCGCGTTGCTGAGCGCGGCTCGGAACCGCAGCGCCAATTACACGAAAGTGAAACTGAATAGAAAGAGCGCTTCCTCCGTCAGCCTCCTGCGGCCTCGCGCGTTAACTAGCTCCGGATGAACCGGCCGCTGGGGCACGGGACGCCCGGGCGCTCGCGCAGCAGGCCGGCAGCGCCGTGCCGGCGGGAGGCGGCGCTCCGAGGCTTTGTTCGGCCTGGCGCTGCCGCCGGGCGGGGGCGCTGCGGGCGATCCCAAGGGGCGGAGGACGCGCATGCGCGCAGCGCCTCACGGAGCGGCCTCGCGCCGGGCCCGCTCCCCTCCCCCGCCGCGGCTTCTAACGGTCCCTCCCGCTCTCTCCTTCCTCCCTCCCCTCCTCTCCCCTCTACTCCCTCAGAGCGGCGGCCGCGGCCCAGCACGCGGCGGCACCGCTCCTACCTGCGGGCCGCGGCGGCGCCTCCCGTTCGCCGTCGCGCCGGCGGCGGGGGAGGGACGGGAGGAGGGACGGAGAGAAGCGGCTGCGCGTCCCGCCGCGCCCGCGAGAGCGACGCCCGCCCGCCGCCCGCAGCTCACGTGCCCGCTGCCCGCCGCCCCCCGCTCACGTGCCCGGCGGCCGCCCCGCCGCTCCGCTCCGCTCGCCGGCGCCGGCCGCCCCGCTCCGCCTGTGGGGATGTGGCCGGGCTGAGGGAGGCGCCGCCGGCCCGGGTCTCGCGAGAGGCGGAGGCCGCTCACCGAGCTCTCGCGAGAGCGCCGCCGCTCCGCCGGTCCTCGCCTCATGGCCGCGCGCTGCCGCCTGGGCGGGGCTTGGCCGCGCGCCTCTCCGCCCCCCGGCCGCGGGGCTGCGGGTTCGCGCCCGCCCTCCGCCTCCCTCGGCCCCCCGCGCCGCCGTTACCTGCCCCGGGCCGCGGCCGCCCATAGTCCCGCCGCTCCTAGGCCGGGCGCCCGGCGGGACGGAGCCGTTACCTGCGCGGAGGCGTCTGTCAGCACGGGCTCCGGGCCCCGCTGGGCGCGTTAGAATGTTCTGGCAAAGGAAAAAAAAAAAAAAAAAAGCACCACGAACCGGCGGCGCGGCCTCCCTGGGCACGGCCCACAGCGCCACCTGGCGCCACAGCGGGGAAGCGCGCCGCTCCGCGCCGCTCGCTCCTGCCCTCCGCCGGCATCGGCGCCGAAACGACGGGAACGTTTATCATTTAAAGTCCTTCGGCAGTCGGAGCGTTTCCAGCCTCGTTTCGTGGCCGTGTAATCCACGTCTCCATCGGCCGGGAAGCTGCGCTGTGGGAGCCCACAGCTCCCGGGGAAAGGCGGTTTCCTGGGAGCACCCCGGGCCTGACTGCTCCTGACCCCATTTCCGCCCCACGGGTTTTAATCTCCATCCCCTGTGCTGAGCAGAGCTCTGCAGGGCACCCCAAGCACTGCTGCCAGCAGCTGGTGAGCTTTGGGGTCGCACCGATGAGCCATCTCTGCCCCTCCTACTGCTTGTGTCAGAGTGCAGCAGGCCCTCAAAGCCTCAGCGCAGTCCAGAGGTGAAGCTATCAGACTTTTTTCAAGGAAAGAAGCCAGCTGGCACGTGTTTATTGTCCACATCGCCCATGCTTTCCTGTGGCTGAGAGCAGATATTCCTATTTCCTGCCAAGTTCCAGAAATTCAGCAGGAGAGATCTCTGACCCAGAACGTCTCTTTCTCGGCAGGTTAAAAGCCTTGGCCATGAGAACACGAGCCCCTGTCCCTCCTGAGGGCAGCAGCCAGCCTGTGTGCCCCACAGCTCAGCACTCAGTACTGTGTGCTCAAGGAAACAGCACCAGGTGTTTGGGAAAGGGGCAGGCTCACATCACTGCCTCTCATTTTATTTGTTCACAGATGCACATCAGCTACAGCAGCATCTGTATGTTAATTGTAACGTAATGTGACTCAAAACCACGGAGTAACTTGGAAAACTTTGCCCTGAAAAGCTGCTCATCCTGCAGCATCACAGTGCACAGAAGATGGGGCTCTGCTCACCACACTGATTGAGATGGGTCAGGCACTACGGTGGGAGCGATACCCCCCCTCCTGAGTTACCCACTTTTGAATTAAGCAGCATCTTCCTCCGGACCTGCAACAGTGCAGGAGGACAGGAGGCAAGCCATGGCACAGATCTCCCTGCAGAAGCAATGGAGGGAAGCGTGCACACACGGCAGGGACGGGGTGCTGCGTTACTTCCCTGTCCCTCTCGACTGCATTCAACACCACAGATCCTTCCATATCCAACAGCCGTACCACACAACAGAAACAACAGTGATCACGTTTAAGTAAGTTTAATAGGCCAAAGAAAAACATACGATTTTGAACTAGCAGTGAGCGTGGCTTAACCACCAACCGACTGTGAAATTCTCATTATACCTCACGCAGCGCCCTTCGCTACTTCCATCTGCTAAGGCCGGATCCTGAAACCATCGCTCCTCTGGGAGCAGCGTGGCTTCTGAGCTTCCTCCACACAAACCCTTCCACGTGGGACCGTCAGAGCAGCGCCGGCAGCTTCTTTTGTGCCTTCGGACTGCCCGCAGGAACGCGCAAATCCACGTGCCTGCAATTTAAGCACACACAGAAGAGTTAACACGAGTCGTACTCAGCCCTTCCTTACCCGCTTCATCCTCCCGGCCTCCTTTTTCATTCCAAAGACGCGGCATTAAACGAGGCGCCCCACGGAGAGCCGAGCCGAGGCTGTCCGCACGCCATCTAGGAGCAGCTCCACCCGCCGGAGCTCCCCACTCTCGGCACGCGGAGGCTGCCGACCCCCGGCGCCCCGGGGCCAGAACGGCACGGCGCGCCGGGGCTGCGCGGCAGCGCGCTGCTCTGCCAGCGGCATAACACCGCCCGCGCACGGCAGCGGGGGAGGCTGACTACCGCTGGGCGCAGCGCGGCGCTGCGGGACACGCGCGCAACGAGGAACGCAGCCTCACCTCGCGGCCGCCCGCGCCCAAAGAGGCCGCGCCTTCCCGCGCCGCCCGGGTGGTTCCGCACGCGCCGCCCCTCGAGGCGGGTCCGAGCACGGGCCGCTCCTCCAAGCGGGCGCCGTACCGCCTAGAGGCCGCCGTCCCGCGGCTCTGAGGTGGGCGAGCGTTGGCTTGGCGGGCTACTGGAGCCGCTTGCGTCGCTGCGGTGCTGGCTGGGCTGCGCGGAGTTCAGGGATGCTGTGTCTAGACGAGAGGAGCTCTTGTGAAGGCTGGCGGTGCTTCTGTTTGTGATAGCTTCTATCTCTAATCTGCTTTGAAACAAAGCGTCTGCGCTCGTCCATCCCTGACACCGCACTTGTGGGAAAAAAAGAGAATGCGTTCCGCTTCCACCAGGCTAAGATGAACAACAGGTCCAGCGAGTGCCTGAGTATCAAAGAATAATGAGATGTTTGCTGACATCGGCTGTAGCTGAAATCCTGCCTGGGAGAGGAGGAAGGACAGCGCAATTAAGCAGATGAAATGTCTATGAAAGCTGTTGGCAGCAGGTCAGCCCAGGCAGGCAGCGCTGTGTGCGGCGCTCAGCAGGCAGCTCGGCGCGCAGGAGGACTGGCACTGCTTGCACTCACTGCGAGGCTGTACTCAGCTCGGGGAGCCGGTGCTTGGCAGGGCTGCTGCGGCACAGGTTCCAAGCAAGGCGTTGCTGGGCTCAGCCCGTCCCAGGAGCGTTCTCTCAGCAGTCAGAAGAGCTGTGGTAGGTGTAGGAGACACGTTTGCCAGGAAGCTGTGGCAGGAGCTGTGCTTGACTTGATACCCAAGGCAGAGCTGACGTGCTTCACTTGGCGCGACAGCTTTTATCCAAGGTTTGTAAGTGATGTGCAAGCATGTGCTGGAGCCTGCCTCACTGCACGAGATGAAACAATGCTCCGTGCCCAACTACTAGATAGGAAAGCTGTGCAGGAACACAAGGAAACCCTTGCTGTGAAGTTACATGGTGTTCCTGACATTCAGATTCACCGATTTCTGATATTTGGCATTCAGAAAGCTTTGGAAGCATCTCCTTGGTGCTGCTGAAGACATCTTAAGGTTATGAGTATGGGCCCACACTGCATTCATGAATTATACTGGTTCAAACTGGAGTGGTTTCTTAAGCAGCCTGTCAGGGCTTGGCAGGGCTCATTGTCTGGGCCCTGATCACAGGCAGAAAGACTTCAAGAAAAGATCACAAAGTAAATCTGTTTGCTTGTTCCTCCATCACTGAAACTTTGCACCAGCCTTGTGATAACCCTGGATTTTCTATCCTGGAGCACAGCTGAGAAAATACTGTCCTTCATTCCTGGCATGCCTCCTTTGGTGACTTTTGTTCAGGCCCTTTCCAGTTTGACCATCCCGTCTGGTTTGTGTGCAGCTGGGGTGATGTGCCTGCTGGCTGTTGCCTGTTGTGCTGGGAGGATCTCCTCCAAGTGCATCCTCTGTGGGCAGTCAGTGTTGAGACAGCTCACATGTGACAAGACCAAGGGCTCTGCCTCCACCGATGGGCTGTTGTTGGCCTGTGGTGCAGCTCTGTGGAGTTCTGGCACAGTCTCTTCTTGCTGTGATATTCGAGGGATAGGATGGGGGAAGTTAATGAGTTGTGAGCCTCAGTGCTAAATGGAGAGCAGCCAGTGCTCCTCACCTTGAGCACCAGTGACCCTCCCAGCACAGAGCTGTGGCTGCTGTGTGCTGAACAAGCCCAGCACCACCTGGGACGAGGCAGGGTAGGCTGTGTAGGAGAGGAGCAGCCTACACAGAATGACCTCCATGAACACGTGTCCCTGCACCCAGGAAGAACATCTGCCCCCCTTGGGCAGGAAGCAGTTGATGGCTTCGTCCTGCCTTGTGTGTCTGCAGCGCAGTGCGAGGGGTGAGCAGACAGCCGGCTGCCCTGTGCCGTTTCCTGACAGCTGATGCGGCTGGTGGTTGTTTTTGCTGCTTCTAGCTCCACAGATCCTGTGTTTCCTATGCTGGCTCTCCATGCCCTTCAGAGTGCATCTCAGCATTCAAGTTAGCGTGGATGCTTACAACAAAGCTGACCTCACTGAACTCTCTGGCTTCAATCAGGGAAGAAAAGTGCCTTTACTGCTTGAATGTGGCACTGTTTCCTTCCACATTGAAGGAGAAAATTAGCCCTCAGTACCTAAAGAGAGATCTAAATCAAATTCTTCAGCCTGGAAGAAATTGCTTTCTTAGCCAGAGAATTGGACTAGAAGGATAAATATTAATGAAATGAATCATTTTCACTCTCTCAGAGCAAGAGTAGGGACTTTTCTGTCAGAGACAGATTTCCTCTTAGCCCCAAACTTGTTAAACAGGGGTACTTCTGGGCTTTCCATCTGCCTGAACAAGAGCCACGTGCTGCATCAAACTCCACAGAGGGGACCTGTGGTCTCCACTTCCCGGATATAATCACAAGATGGCATTACAGACTTAAAAGCAGAGCTGGCTCTGCTGAGGGGCTGGAGATCATTCCCAGACCCTGGAGTGTTCAACCCCAGAAGACCTCTAAAGAAGCTGTGGACTTAACCCTGCCTGCTGAGCTTTCCATAGATCTGAGCCTTCGACACTTGCTTTTAATCATGTCACTTTAATGTCAGGACCGCAGTTTAATCGCGCAGCCTGTGCAATGGATAGCTGCAGCGGTGGCTCCTGTAATCCATGAGCAATCTAATTGCACTGATTTAAGCTCGTTATAGTTTTGACAGCTAATGGCACACGCAGCATTTTCATCTTGACCTGCAACACCTCAGGCTCTTCCGCTGCCCCCTCTGCCGTGGAGTGGACACTGCTGATCAGCCCAAGTGGTGAAGTAGTTTAAGATGTGGCAAAAGAGAGGCAACGCTGAACCATGAGTGAAATGCATCTCGATTGCTTTTGTTGGAAAGCACATTCAGAGCTATCTTTTGTTTGCCCAAGAATGATTTGGGAGAGCAATAGTAAAGCTTTCAATAATTCACAGCTGTAAAATAAAGACAAAAGAGAAAAAATGCTCCTGCTGGATATGTCTTGTTGAAAACCAGAGTGCTTCAAGCGCGGCACACAAAGCCCTGCTGCGTTACCCCTCTGTGTCCCTCAACACTGCCCCTGGCACGACCCTCAGCAGGACAGGGCTGGTGGACACAGCTCGGCCTCCCTCAGCCCTCAGTGGGAAAGCTCCTGCCCCACAGTGCCGCCTCCTTCACACTCAGAAGGGTTATCAGCACAGCCTTTGGCTCATGTGGGACTGCGCTCCCTTCAGCTGCTGTTAGCTTGCTGCGCCCTGTTCAAGCTTCCCAAGCGCATTTGCTTGTTGAAGTTACACACTGTGTAGCTCTGAAGGCACAGATGCTCTCAATGACCCTGACCCCACCTGCCTCCACCTGTATCCATGGGCTGGGACCCCATTTAAGCTCAGCCACAGCTACATTCACTCTGTAAGTGATGCTGCAGCAGTGTCTGATTCCAGGCTTTCTCCTGGACAGACTTCTTGGACGTGCATTGCAGCTCTGTCCCCTCCCACTTCCCAAGGGGACTTTTGACCCATGTTGTGGCCATGTCTCCTGATCTCAGTCTCATGGCATCTTATTCCTGCCTGAACCCCATGGCGGGGCCTGAGTGTCTGTGTGCTGTGCATGGAGCTGCTGCTGGGCCCTGTAATCACTGCCTGGCTCTGCCCACTGCTCTCTGGGGGGACACAGCCTGCTGGTGAGGATGGTACTGCTGCCGGGCTCATCTTTGCTTTATCTCCCTTAGGGGCAGCTGACACTTGATCTTATCTTGTTGCAAAAGCAAATACAAACACTCTTTATCTCCATCGACTCTACAATACCGTGGGCCTACTTGGCACCCCGTGGCAAGGGGTGTCCTGCTGCGATGTTCCCTGTCTGTGACAGAGCTGTGTTAATGCAAGTCTCAGTTTTCTTACAGGTAATGGGCACTCCAGGCTTAATTCACCAGTGCTTCCCTGTGAGAACAACGTATGAGATGCAGCAGTGGTCTCACTGCACCTCAATTCCTGGCTAAGGGCCCCACAGCCTCCCAAAGGCCCTTCCATTCATTTTTTTGGAAGCCAGATCTGAGACTGTAGCTGGATCAGACCCGCTGCGTGTTCCCCCTTCAGGCCTGCCTGTGTCTCTTCTCGCTGCCAGTGCTTGGCTCTTTTACTGTTCAAAGTGCACTCAGGCGACTCAGGCATCTGTGCAGTTTTCCCTTGGTTCTCATTTAACTGCAGAGCAATTTCTTTTTTCCCTTTGGTCTCTGGCAGAGCTCTGCAGATGCTCTGCTCCCTTCCCTCCCCTCCACTCCCCTCTCTGAGCTCCCCTCTGGCTGAGTGCCCTCCCCTGCCGTCCCCCTTCTTTTCCCAGTACCCATTTAACCCTATTTTTCTCTTCTCTCTTTCCCTCCCGTGCTCTCATCCAGAAGATACATTGCATACTGTCACCTCTTTGTTACCCGGTGCCTTTCATCCAACAGATCCTAAAACACCTCCTTGGCACCGCGGAAGCGATGTGCTGATCCCGCAGAGGTGTTGGGCTGTTCTGCATCTCAGCCTTCTATGTCAAAAAGCAGTGGCTACACAGATTCTGAAATCACTCCAACTCGTACTGAGACACTGAAACCCAGGTGCTCTGAGAGCCATTTTGCTGATGCTGGTTTGATTCTGTGAGGTCTTACCAAGCCCGAGTCAAATCCCAGGGGGGTTCTGGCAGTGCTGGAACCTGGAGCTGATGGAAGCACTGCGGATGGGTGCTCAGGTTGTACGCCTGGTAAACACGGGGTGGGAGAGCCAAGAAAGAACGAGTGGTTTAGACTGGAGTTAGCTGGAAATAAATTACTCAATTTCTTTAAAAAAGAAAAAAAAATCAGTCTTAATTAGGACAGAAACCTCCAGTTAGGCTTTTTTAAAGAGAAAGCCTAAAAATACCATTTTGCTTTGGTTTGAAAACTATTTTTGTTATTCATACTGTAAGATAAAACACGTTTGAATCGATGATGCATTTCACAACACAAAATACATCCTTTCATCCCAAAAGTGCTGAAATGGGTTGTTGCAAATTTTTCAACATTTTCCCTATTTTAAAAAACCCGAATTTTTAATTTAGCTGAAATATCTGCTTTTCTTTTTTTTTTTTTTTAAAGGACACTCTTGATTTTTATTTTTTTTTTTTCCCAAAAAAGCTTTAATTAGAATTTACAATCATGAGCAATTCTTAGCTGTGTGATAAGTAGCTGGAATGGCTGCACTGCACAGCCCTCTCAGCTCTGAGACTTCCAGGCCAGCCCTAGCACTGGCAAGATGTAGCCTCTGCAATATTTTAGCCTTGTCTAAAGGCGTTT